TTATTATATATTATAATTTATAAAATTTAATTTTTTAAAATATCATAAATTTTTTTATATATAATTATTTTAAATTATTTTATATTTCGAACAATAACGATTCTAACACGAACGAACGCATTACTGCTAGTGTTTGGTTCGTTTAACTAATCGAACGAAAAAAAATTGTTCACGTTCGTCTCGTTTACTTATCGAACGAATCGAACACAAACTCATTGTGCAATCACTGCAATGCCCTCTTTTTTATTAAGAAAACATAAAGTTTTTTTTTAATCTGGAAATAATATTTTAAATTATTATGAATTATCAATTTAGTTTTTTTATGGTATGATCTCTATACGACAATTGGTTGGACTTTTTCTTGCAAATAATTATTAGGTTTAAATCTATTTCTATAATTTCAATATTGTCATAATTAAATATTTATGAAAATAAGAAATAATTTATATTTTTTAATTAAAAATTATGACATAAAAATTTTCTAAAATAGAAATATTTAAATATTTATCTCTTCTATTTATTCTTCCATCTATATTTGTGCAGTTATTACATCAATTAAAGGAATTTAAATAATTTAATAATTAATATATCATATGATTCAATCACCAACTAAAGTTCAATTAAACCTTTTGATTCTTAAATCTTTTCTCGCTATTTATTTCCACAGTGAAAGCCTATAATTTTACTTCGTTATTTATTTCCACAATATTTGAAAAAATATATATTTTACATTTATTTTTTAAAATACATATTTTTTATTTGAAATAATTAAAATTTTGTAATCTTATTATTGATTTTCCAAAATTAAAAAAAAAAAAAGTAAAAAATGGTCTATAAATAGCTTCTTCCCATCTCAATAGTCTTCACACCACCTTTGTAGATTTCTCAATTCCTCATTGTTCAGTGAACTCAATAGCATACTTCGTTCGGTCTCTTCTGTCGCCATAAACATGACGTGATATTGCAATCCTGCTATATATTTGAAGTAGCACAATCAGACATCGATTAGTGATTCGTAAGTTATATTTGATTTTGAATCGAGCTCAATCCAGCTCGAAATCGAGACTAACTAGTTCCAATTGAGTTCTTTGGACCCGTTTCAGCTCGAAATTGTTTGATCCAGGTCAAAATTGAAACAAACTAGCTAAATTTGAGTTATGTTGATCTGTCCTAGCTGAAAATCGGCTTGAAATTGACTCATGACTAGTTCTATTCAATTTTACTTAACATTATACATATAATTTTAGTATATAAAAAATACTACAAGCCGATCTCGAGTCAGTTTGAGACAATCCATATATGCCTCGAAATTAGCTCAAAAAAAAATTTGTTCCAAAGTTTTAGCTCATAGCTCTGCTCGTTTATTTCAATCCGATCTCTATTCTGGCCAAAGTTCAAATTGTTTTTTGAACAATTAATCGAAGCTAAATATCACAACCCGAGTTCCAATATCAACAAAGAAGATCAACAAGAGGAAACACTTTAGAGGCTCCAATGCATCAAACATGCAAGCTGTGAGGAGAACGAGGCAGCATGAATTAAAATCATACTTTAGATTAATAGATTCAAATGGAGTTATTTCAAGCAAAAGTGAAAGTGAAAGTGATGATAGAGAAGAAGGCAAAATGTGTGATGGTATTGATGTTGATGACAGTTTAGATGATTCAGTGACATCAAAATCAAGACCAATTAGATATGAAGATGTAAAAGAAATAACAATTTGTAGATCAAAGCTTGCTAAATGGTTTATGGAACCCTTCTTTGAAGAAATTATTGTTGGATGTTTTGTTAGAATTGGCATCGGGAGGACTCGTAATGGTCCTAAATACAAGCTTTGTGTGGTTAAAAATGTGGATGCAACTAATCCAAACCGGAAGTATAAAATTGAAGACCGCACCACTTGTAAGTGGTTGAACTGTGTTTGGGGGAATGAAGCATTTGCAGCTAGATGGCAAATGGCTATGGTTTCTAACCATCCACCAACTGAGCAAGAATTCAAGGAATGGTTAGGAGAAACAGAGCGATGTGAGCGCGATATTCCTTGTCGACAATATGTTCATGATAAGATTGAAGAGATTAAAAAAACTAGTGCTTTTATATGTTCACCGATACTATGAACGAAATGCTAAAGCCAAATAAGCTAAGTTCTTCAAGGCCATTCAATGTTGCGATTGAAAAGGTTTTTTTGAAGAAAGAGATTGCAAAAGCCGAGAGTTGTGGAAAGAAAATTGTGGCAGAGCAGTTGCGGGCAAAGCTGAAGGAGATGGAGGATTTGTCTAGACAAGTTAAACCACCTGATGCAAGGGCTATTAAATTGGTGGAAATGAATAATGAAAATAGAATAGAGAACTATAAAAATGCAGCAAATGTGAAGCCATTTGATGCAAGCTTAAATTTCGGTGAGACGGGCTATGATCCTTTTTCAAGAAGATGGACTAGACCTACAAACCATGATTTTAATACCATGTCTGTAAAAGAAAATGTGGTTGACACTAAATATGAAAAAGTTAATGATGCAACAACCATGGATGTTATGAAGAAAAATGAAGGTGGAAGCCAATTGATTGACGACAGAACTCCGGTGGATTACGGTGCACGATTATGTTTGTTGCATAATTTTGATTTGATAATTTCAGTGGCTAGTCTCAACAAATCTAGAGGAGTTGATGGAATTCGTCATTGCCTTATGGAAAGAAAGCAGAAGATAGAAGCAAAGTTTGGATATAGAGTGTCTGATGATTATGGGAGAAACCATTTCTTGACACTTAATGTTAATGACTATAAGAGGCGTAGAGGCCTCCTTTGAATTTGTATATTGCTTGTTGAGTATCTATGCTATTATTCTAATGAAATTTTAATGAGAACTTTCTCATGAATTACTCAGAAGCAATTTTTTTTATCATTGATTTCAACCATTTTAAGGAAATTTAAAAGTTTTTCTTTTGTGCCTAGAACAATGATCTTTCTATTTACATAATTTTTCTAAAAGCCATTTGAAAAAGAAGTAGTGATTGATGTGTTCATAAAGAGAGTGTGTCACAACATATGGTGCAAATCTTTTTTTGTTAATTCTTTTCCTTCAACAAAATTATCTTTAATCAACTGATAATGTAAGGAAATTCAAGCGTTTGAGCAATATATAGAGTGCATTTGTTACAAATTGTACTATAATAACTCATGCACTCTTAATTTAAAAACATTAATTTTTGGGGATTCACATACATATCATTCCAAAATATGGTATTTACATAACTAATAGTTAAAACTGTCTACTTCCACATATAATATTAAATTTCTTAAGCAAAAGTTAGGATGTCATATTTCTTGAACCTTATACTACATTATGTCATGCCAACATTATCATCAATGAACTCGTAGCTGGTTTGGTTGATTCAATTCCTAAGTGAGATCTAATCATGATTCTCTCATCTACTATTTGTGTTGGATGTTCAAACACTACTAATCTCATCAATACTTGTCACGTGCAAGCTCTCTTCACAACTTCTTTTTTGGCATGTGCTTTGTGAATGTTCATGCATCATCGAATTTGTCAATATAATTCTCTGTATGAGATCTAGTTATGACATTATTGAATCTTGTTAGGGCGTAGAGCCTCTTGTTTTTAGAAGGAAGGTTTAGAAGAAGATGATGAATTTGTTGCTAGAGCTTGTGTTTCTCACTATATTTTCTCAAGATTCCTGAGCTGCCAGTAATTAGCTCAAAGTAAGGGTTTTTGCTTCTCAGTAAAGGGAGGGAGGGAGAGAGGGAGAGATCTAAATGTCCTTTTTCTTTTTGATTTTCCTAGAAGCTCCCTTTCTCCCTTTTATACATGAGAAAAAATAATTACAAAAATTAAATTTCGTACAATTCTGCACATGTTAATAGTGTCTCGATGAAAAAATGGTGATGTGGGTATCAAGCATCACCATAAATAAGGAATGACGCATGTACCTTGAAGTAATAGTGATTTTTTCCAACAGCTCTTTGCCCTGACTAACTCAACCAGTTCAACATACTGGCTTATCTTGACTACTACAGTAGGTGGCATTACCTTGACCACTATTGTAGGTGGCATCAGCCTGACCACTTCAGCAGGTGAGCTTAATTTGAGATGACATGATCTTCAGATCTGGGCCTTTGAAGCTTGTAAGACCTATTGACCTTTAAGTCGTGTCCATGAGAAAGCCTTGTTTAAGTACACGGTCATATTTGGGTATACATTTAGTTCCTCGATTGTCTTGGCTCTTCGATTAGGGATCGACTGTGAAAAGAATGAGAGAATGGAGATTCTCAAATTCGAATCCACAAAAATATTTATTTCTTGTCGCAGTTTACAAGTCAGCTAAAAAATCTTCAAGGCGTGAACACAATATGATTCAAAAATAGATTTTCCTTGACTAGAGGTGTTTTGGCTACACCTAGAGGAATTTAACCATATTATGCTCATCTTTGAGCTGAATTTCGCCCGAGGGCACTCTGTGCTACATATGCATGGAGTAATCTCCTTAGCTTCTCGATGAGTGCAATTAGTTTATCCTTGGGGGCCTTGGCCCTATTATAGGAAGGAACCTTTTATGAATCCTTAGTTCTGTCTGTTGAGGCCGGATGATCATGCACATCATTACAAGTGAGGTTAGATATCCGAGCTATTTTATGACTAAAATTTGATCTTTCTCTATAGAGTTGAATGTAAGTTCGGAAAGATTAAGGTAACAAGAGTGAGAGTTGGGACTTCCCTGCTCTTGATAACAATTTTGTCCCAGAATAAATGTTCTATCACGTTTATAATGAACTTGGATATGTGTGTTCCCAACGTTCGTCTTAACACCGTTTTGTGTCCAAGGAAAAGAGTGTGAATTGTGGTTGTTAGCCAACTGACTATTTTTTTGTCTTCTGTAGTTATTCCTTAGAACAATTTGAGAAATATTGAAAGCAGTATTCTTTTAGAATTATGGATGGCGATTGATGTGCTCATGAATAGATTTGGTATTGCATTGTTAGATAATTCACTTGTTATTGATAAGCAATTTTTTTACTGATTTCTCGTGGGATCAATACATGAACTCAAACTCGTATACAATTTGGTCGACATATATACTTGCTATTGCATTGTTAGATAATTCACTTGTTATTGATAAACAATTTTCTTACTGGTTTCTCGTGGGATCAGTACATGGACTCAAACTCGTATATTATTTGGTCGACATATATACTTGCGTATATTGTCTGTGTTTTGTAGTATTTAATTTGGTATATCAAGTATGTAAATTTTTAAATTTTTTAATATATATGTATTAATTTATTTAACTAATGCCCATTCTTACTAATATCAGCTTAATTGATAAGAAATTTTTTAATTTAATTAATATTAGGATAATTAATTATTAAATTTTCTTAATTCCTTGAGATTTATCTAATTTGTATTTAAAGCAGTAAAATATCTAAATAATTCATATCCTTAGTGTATAATAAAATTGTGTCAGCACAGATCTCGAGGAAATCCTTGGCTGGCGGAGAAAGACGTCGTGACATCATGGGGAGCCCGTCGGGGACAATTCGATACCCCATGAATTGTTTAATTAATTAGAGCATTGATGATATTAAGAACGGTTTTCATAAGTGTTCTCTCATTCCTGTAATTGTACAAAATGCACTCCTATAAATATGATACAAAAAATATGAATAAAGGGGACATATTCGCTCTCCCACTCTACTCTCTTTTCTCCCTTTTACTCGGCTCTAACCTCGAGATGTGTTCGTAAAAGATAATATGGGACCTAACACTTTATATATATACATATATAACACCCCTATAAGTGTCGCTCAATGAGCCTGTTACGTGCTGTTGAATTTGAAATTGTCCGGGAGACGTGCCGAAGAAATATAGCGTAAATGAGAGGGAAATAGTAGAGAGAACAGAGTAATGAATGGTAAAATAGCGTAAATTTTTTTCATGAAATGAACGCTCTATTTATAGGTAAGGGATTGATTAATTTACACTCAGTACCCCGAGTAAAATAGGCTCAGTACTATCAGGCTTATTGTCCATGGGCCAGTATGCTAGCCCCGAGTAAAATTGTTGTTGTTAAGACACGAGAAGTGGATTTTGTGCGGCCGATTGAGCCGGGCAAATAAGTGAAGCTATCAAAGTGCTAGAAATGAATGGTAAGAGAATTATAAAAATGCATCACATTTGAAGCCAGTTGATACAGGATTAAAGGTTGATGATGCGTGCTATGATCTTTGTTTGCTCAAGAGCATGAACTAGGCATATGAGCCACATTTCTATATGATGCCTACTGATGAAGGTCTTGGAGAAACCACAAATGATGTTAATGGACAAAGAGTTGAAGCTAGGCCCGACTCGATTCATTAGCTCCTGGGACGGTTCGTTTAGAAAGTTGAAGCTAGGCCCGACTCGATTCATTAGCTCCTGAGACGGCTCGTTTAAAAAATATTAAAATAAATTATGTTCAAAATCGTTTAGAAAATATTAAAATAAGATCAAAGAGATCTAATCATGGCTTCTCCTCTTTGATCCTTGTCAAGACGATGAGAACAAGATTCACAAAATAAAATTGTTATGCATCAAAGAAGGTTTTAGCGACCATCTTCAACTTTGATTTTATAATACATTCTTTTGTGCTCGCAATTGATTAGCTCAGAGTTAATTAATCATTGTAAAATTGATTCAAATTTTGGTTTAAATCGAGATCAGATTGAAATGAATGAGCAGAACTACGAGTCAAAATTTTAGATCAATCTTTAACCGACCCCAACTCAACTCAAAATCTTTGACAACCCTACAATTGACTTAAATAAACTAATTTTAGACTAATTTTATTTAATAATTATAAATTTTAATATACTTGATTCCCCTATAAAATTAAAACTAATTTTTTTTTTATCAAAAAATTTCAAATTTAAACAAATTTTTAAAAAATTTCAACATATCAAATACGAATAAATTTATTTATTTTTATATTTTTATTTTTGCATTGTAGACGGCACCTCTGATCTCCACTCACATTTATTGCACGAGCTATCCTCCAAAGCTGCACTCTGTTTCTCCCCGCATCATCTTCTTCCTCACCCGCATCATCTTCTGCAGCGCAGTAGGGGGAAAAAAAGAAAACAAATCTTTCTCTCTCTCTCTCTCCATTATCCCTATCTCTCTGTTCCAATGGCAATTCGAAACCTCTTCTCCCTTCACCCCATCTCCACGGCCTCCGCTACCGCCGAGCGGCCCCGCCACCTCCGACGACATCCGATCCCTCCGAATCATCCGCCACCATTGCCATCGGAAACCGCAAGCTCCTCCGCGATCTCAGTACCTTCGCCATCGGTGGACCCTGCTCCTTCTTCCTCGAAGCAACCCACCCGACCCATCTGCTCTCCGCGGCCCGCTTGGCCCGAACCCGCTCCCTCCCACTTCTCCTCCTCGGCCGCGGCTCCAACTGCCTCTTCTCCGATCGTGGGTTCGACGGACTCGTCGTCCTCAACCGCTCGTCAATGGAGGAAGCCTTCGAAGTGGTTGGACCGGATCTGGTTCGGGTGGGGAGCGGGTACCCGTTCAATCGGCTGGGGGTGAGGACGGCGGTGGAGGGGTGGGGGGGACTGGAGTTCGCCGGAGGGATACCGGGAACTGTGGGAGGGGCGGCGTTCATGAATGCGGGGGCTAATGGGCAGGAGACGGCGGATGTGGTGGAGAGCGTGGAAGTGGTGAATCGGGAAGGGGAGGTTAGGGTTTTGGGAAGGGGAGATTTGAGGTTTGGGTATCGGTGGTCGTCGCTGCAGGAGATGGACGATTTGGCTGCAATCGTCGCCGTGACTTTCAGGCTGTGGCCATCGCCGGCCGCGAGAGATCGGCAGCGGGAGTTTCTTAGTAGGTCAGTATCGAATCGCTCTTTGGTTCCATCTTTCCTAAAATAGAATGGTTTTTTGGACGTTTGTTGCAGAAGCAGAAACTAAACCGCTCAGGCAATCACAGTCTGATGTGATATCTTTAAGAAAAAGAGTTTTGATTTGGTGACAGCTAATTTAACTAATAAATAAATTAAAAGATTTTTTCTTTAGATTGGGAGTATGTAAGGGCTTTGCATTTATAAATTTAATTAAAATTTCGGTTGTGTCAAAATACTCTATTTATTTAATTATATCATGAAACTAGTTTAAATATTTTTATGAACTAGTAAATAAATGAACCCTTGAATAGGGTATTGTTCAATTCGTTTATGTTCACCAACATTGCCATCAAAAGCTCGTGAATATGCTCGATTGAAGCTCAAATAAATGCTTTTGAAGATGTTCGATAAAGATAATTTGGTTATATACCAAATAGTTTGATTAAGAAGCTTGTGAATATTATCATGTAAAAGTTTGTGAACTTGTTCAATTAAAAGTTGATTAAGGCTCAAAACTTATTTGTCGTGTTAAATGAATGGATTCTTTGTAAGCTTGTTGAACACTAAAACAATTGAGCATGAGCTCAAACACTGTTCTAACTACTCTATTTGAGCTTGAACAAGCTTTAGACAAATAAGCTTGAGCTCGAGCAAGCTTGAACTCGGCTCAGCTCTATTCGTTGGTAGTCCTAAGAATAGTAAGTAGATCAGTTAGTTCTCTTAAAAAATATGAAATACAAAAAAAACTTTCATAGAAAATTCCAAATTTGAACTATCAAAAACTGTATTAAACAAATAAAATGAAATGTTTCTATTCTCTAAAAGAGAGGACATTGAAAGCAAAATAATCCCTAATAAAATAGAAGAACCCACAGTTGTTTTGGTAGTCATATGGAAGTGATATGTGGAGAATACAATAAACCTCTCATCATCGTCCAAATGAATGAAATAGGGAGCGAAAACAATAAAAAGCCCCCTGTAACTAAACTGCAAAGTTGTTGTACTGATGATAAATATCCAGAAAATCATTAGAATGAGTCACTAGAGCTCCAAACAGTAATATAATAAGAGAAAACACTGCAAAAAACCATCAGCAAGTTTGCATATTACTCCATGATTGATAGTAGAGATGATGGTTTAATTGATAGTTGAGATGATGGTTGTAAAACCAGAGATTCTCCTGTCGAATCCTCTAACATTCTTTTCTTTCTAGATAAAATAGACCAAGCCCATAAATAGTGAGAAGAGAATAACATTTGCATTTTTTAACAACCATAATAAATACTATATGATATGTAGTACTTGATAAGATGGTCAAGTTTTGCATAAACATTACCAAAAATCAGAGCCTCTTGTTGGATAAGGTTGCCATAAGGAGTAATATTTCTTTTCCCACCAAACTGCTAATAAATTAGAAAAATTGAGATTTCTCTTGTTAAGAGGCCATCTGGAAGCATAAGAGAGGTCGTGGAATGCAAACTCAAATCCCATAGGCTTTAAGTTCACAAGTTCTATCCCAAGATAAAAGATGCAACTTCTTAGCTTCAATATCTCTATGAAAAATGAATTTTTAGTAGCACATGTTAATAAACTTTAGACAAATTTTAGGCATGTTTAAAGGCCTGATCCAATTAAAAACAATGTTCCATATAAAAAACTCAAGGAGTTGAAGACCGACAAATTGTAGATTTTGCTTTTTAGCCATGATCCATGTAGAGAACTTAGTGTTTTTCTTAGGCAATTGTAGTCGTTTGAAGAAGTAGTTTTAGAAAAAAAAAAATTTAAAAAAACTGCGGTGACTATTACAAATTTATTTTATCTCCAAAAATTTAGACTACAGCTTTCTAACAGTCACCACACTTACACTCTAACAACTTATGTTAAAAAATAGCAACAAAGCAGTTCCGAATATTTTGCTCTATCTTCTTCGTTATTGGTGATCAATTTGCCTTTAGCCTCATCAAAGTAAGAGTACTATAGCCCTTGGTCTAGTGAAAAGGCAAGATCGATAGTTTGACTTGGTGTATGACATGCAATTGTGGAGGAGCTCTGGATCTTTCGATCTATGGCAGATATCCAGTAATTTTAAAGGATTGGGGATGATGACTCTTGATTGTTAAATCTAAGGCAATCATATCTGATTGAGTAACATAATTTAGCTTATACAATTATTTATTATCTAATTGAACTTAAGCTAAGCATAACCCCGAGCATCTATTTTTAATCAACGGGCTTTAGCCTTCCCCTCATTTTGACACCAATAAATGTTAATAATTGGCAATAATGCCAAACATTAACTATGCCTGGGATTATGTGATGAAGATCAAGTAGAACAAACGTATTTGCAATCATTAAGGTGTTAGTAGTATATTATGCTTTAGGATTTTATCTACTTAAATTTATTTAATTCATTGTTCTATTAAAAATCTCAAAAGCCATTTTAAAACAATTTTAAATCCAAAAAAATTATGAAATAATTAAAAAAAATTATAAAATTGTAAATTTAATCTTTCAGAAGTAATTTTTTTTAAAATTTTGTAATTTATCTAATTTAATGTAATTCACTTACTTTATAATTTTATAAAATTTATTTTTTGAATTTAATAAAATGTGAAATTTATTTAAAATTACGATAATTTGTATTTAAATGTTTTTTTTATAATAAATAAGTAATTTAAGTAATTTCTTTATTTATGCAAATTAAAACTCATTAAATGATATCTTTAGAATTTAGTAATTATTTTATTACTATATACATCATAAAAATGTTAATTTCATTAATTACATATTTTGTACTTGTTTAAAATTTTTAAATAAAATTCAATTAATATTTTGGACATATGTGTATTTAATTATTTAACCGATATTTTTTTCACTAATATCGACTTGATTGATAAATAATTGTTTTATTATGACAAAATTAGAATAAATATTGAGTAATTTTTTTCTGCTTTAAAAATATAATTAATTTGAGTTGGATGCAGAAAATTATCGGAATAATCTACATATTTAATTATCTTGCTTGATTAGCTAATTGAAATAATTAGTGAAATCAATAGAAAAATTAAAGAAATTTTGGAAATTGATTATTATTCACTAGTTTGTTATGTGGAAATTGATATTTTCCATTATTTAACAAAATTTCTTATTGTGAATTTCAAGTTTTTTTTTAAAAAATTTAAGAAATTTAAATAGATTAT